GGAAGAACAGCAGGTGGAAAGGAAAATGGGATTCATTGGACTCTGATAATTATCAAGCCCAAATAAGGTATCTTACAGGTGTTTAAGGATTTTTTTAAGAGTAATTCACATGATAATTTATGTGTATGTTGCTTGTTGGCTTTATAACTAACTTAATAAAGGGTTTTATTAAGTTGGTGTTTATTTGATCAACACTGAGTGTATAAATAGACAGTATGAAACATGGACATTTGGCCAAAACATTAGAGAATTTCCAACCAAGAGAGCAATATGAAAAAGATGGAAGATGGGTTAACTTCAATGACTGTTTTTTTTTCCAACATCCTATCAAAAATAAAATAAAATAAAAAAAGAGGCAGGCTGTGATCAGGGCCACAGATGCCCAGAGGGAAACTGCAGTAACATTATTCTCCTGTGTTCCTTTCGTGGCCTTATGCCCTTCCTCTGGATCCCCAGGCAGGAGGGGGGATCAAAGTGGCTGTGGCCCAGAACTGTGACAGGGCATGAGGGACAACACGCAAATCCCAAGGTCAAAAGACCCCTCACATAAAGGTGGGACTCCCCAAAGAATACAATTCTCCATGTAAAGGTCAGCCTGAAATAAATCCTCTCCTGACACCTTAGTGCCACCCCCTCAGGCACTGAAGGAAGATTGCCTGTGCGAATCTTCATGGTGATGGAGGTTGATTAGGGAACTATCACCTGATCCTTTATAAGCACAAGCTGTTCCTCTTGTAAGCTGGGGTATGAATTCACATTCCTTAGATGGCCTGAAAAACTTCAAACGGAAAATTTGACTTTAGGTGTTCCTGAGCTGGGGCTAGGTACAGGCACTTAATAGAATTAAATGCATATTTTTTTTTCGGGGAGGATCCTCCTTTGACTCAAATTTAAAATAATTCCCACAAGAGCTGTGAAGCCACAGCTTAAATCACAAAACAAATGAGGAAACATGGCACCTTAAAAAAATTAGCAAAAATAGATAACAGTTGGTAGACCTGGAATGACAAACATCTGGAAATTACCAAACAATGAAAAATAAATGCTCTCATATGTTTAGAGAAAATAAAGAAAGGAATTAAACCAAGAAATTAAAACTGCAACCAGATTTGATAAAGAGCTAAATAGCACTCTGAGAATTGAAAAAATATATGGTAATTTATGTTTAGAAATCAGTGGATGGGCAGATTAGACCCAGCTGAAGAGAGATTTAATGCACTCAAAGATGCAGTTAAAATGATTATCTGGGGGCCTCCCCGGTGGCGCAGCGGTTGAGCACTGGGTTGCGAAGCTGCCCGCAGCCTCTGCGGCGCCGGTTCGATCCCCAGCTGCTCCCCGGCCACTGGAGGAGGGTCCCACATGGCGTGCAAACCTCTCCTGCCTCCCGCTGCTCCCCTCAGCAGTGTACTTCGGTCCTTCTGCCTGCTCTGCTCTCCGCACTGGCTCTGGTGAATTCTCTCACCCTCCCACGCTTCTGACTGTACCCAGTGCTTGTATAAATAAATTAAATAAATAACTAAAAATAAAAAAAAAATAAATCTTAAAAAAAAAATAAATAAAATAAAATGATTATCTGGAATGCAGCACAGAACGAAAAGTGGCAGAAAACCAAGCGAGAGGCTTAATACATATCTAGTTGGAGGGACGGGGCCATATTTAAAAAGATATTGGTGAAGGTTTTTTAGGATTGACAACCATGATCTACAAATTGAGCACTGAAACACAAGAAATCCACAGCTGACACACCATACTGAAGAATACTAAAGGTGAAGATGTTGAAAGCAACTAGAATGAGGAGACTTGCCCAAGGAATGCAGTGACAGACCATACACTCCCCAACCACAGTGGAGACCAGAGGCCATTGTGACATCACGTTGATAAAAGGAAAGAATGACCAAGTCAGAAATGTATTTAAGTAAAACTGTCTTTCATGAATCAGGACGAAATAGACATTTTCCAGCACATAAAACCTGAAAGAATTTGTTCCTACAACACCTTCACCACTGAAAAGATTGCAAAGAGTGTGTTTCAGGTAGAGGAAGGTGAGACCATGAAGGGCCCAGTGAGCCAAGGAGAGGACTTGCCCTTTTCACCTGAATGGACCAGGAGCCCCCAGGGGTGTGGCTACAGCTGTGCTGGGCAGAGCTGTGCATGAGCTGACTTCAGGCTTAACAGACCTTTGATTAGCTAGAATGGACCTATTTTCAGTCTATGTGTTTTGGTTTTTTTTTTTTTAAGATATATTTATTTATGCATACAAGAATTGGGGTACAGGCCAAAGGTGTGGGGGTGAGAGGATTCACCAGAGGGACAGAGTGGGAATAGAACAGGAGGAATGACTGAAATACACTGCTGAGGGGAGCAGCGGGTGAATCAGGAGAGGTCTGCTGCGCCATGTGGGTGGTTCCCTGGCCGGGGATCAAACTTGTGCTGCAGAGGCTGCGGACAGCTTCAAAGGTTGCCTCTTAACCCCTTGCGCCACCAGGGAGGCCCCACGTTAATAACTTCTTTTCTAAGATACCATAAAGACAGTGTGGGTTGTTTCCTAAAGCTTAAGAACAGGGAACACAGGGGACTGTTCTTAAGCTTTTTTAAAGTAACCATTTGTATGGTGATCGTTGCGGATTTTTGGGAAGTCTTAACATGTCTTAAAAATTGTTTTCTGAAAAGATGGCTTGTTAAGTATGTAAGTAAGTACGGTCTAACTTTTATCTCTGAGTATGACTTTCTTATGAATTGATAAATCACAAAACCAGTCTTTGGGAAAAAGTAAAAGACACCATCAAGAGAATGAAGAGACAAGTCATAAACTGGTGAAGGTATTTGTAACTTCTAGAACCAAAAAATTAGTATCCAAATATTAAGCAAAGGACCTCTATTTGTGCTTTTTAGGGACATTTCAAGAAAGTGAAATGGGCCACAGAATGGGAAAAGATATTTGTAAATCACGTGTGAAAGTGACTTGTAGGTAGTTTGTATAGGGAAATCTTACAAGTCAATGATAAAAAAGACAACTCAATTGTTTAAGTGGTCAAAGGATCTGAACACACATTTTTCCAAAGAAGATATGTAATGCCAGTGAGCATATGACAAGAGTCTCCACATCATTAGCCACTGGGGAAATGCAGATCAAAACCACAGCAGAATACCACTTCACACCCATCAGGATTCTGCTATAATCTAAAAGATAGACAATAATGTGTTGGCAAGGATGTGAGAAATTGGAACCTTCATACGCTGCGGGTGGGAATGTACAGTGGTGCAACTGCTTTGGAAAACAGTTTGGCAGTTACTCAAACAATTAAACTGAGTTACATATGACCCTGAAATTCTACTCCTATATGTATACCCAGGAGAAATGGAAACATGTCCAAACAAAAGCTTGTACACGGTTATTTATCACAGCATTAATAGCCAAGAGGTGGAAATGACCCAATTGCCCATGAACTGATGAGTGAATAAGTAAATGGGCTATTATTCAGCCATAAAAAGCCAGATAGAGCTGATGCATGCTGCGGCACGGATGGCCTTACTGTGCTCAGTGAAAGAAGCCAGACACCAAGGACCACACTGGAGAATTCCATTCATGGGAAATGTGCGGTTATTACCAGGTTTCATTTTCTGACAGTGAAAATGACTTAGAATGGATTGTGCTGATGGACGAACCACTCTGAATATACTAAAAGCTACTGTTAAATGGGTGTGACGTGCCATGTGAATCATAAAACAATAGTTATATTTAAAACATCAGTAGACAATAACTCAGTGGAAAAATAAGCAAAAAGCCATGTTGAGACATTTGCAGAAGGAAAAAAACACATATCTGCAATGGCTACTTTCAGAGAATCTCAGCTCATTCTTAATTGGGGACATGCTAATTAAAGCCATGGTTGGAGACCATTGTAGACTCACTTGATTCACACAAATTTTAAACTCAGCCAGCACCACTTCTGCTGGCATGTAAAGGAAGTGGCGCCCTGGGGAAGCTCCACCCCTGCCTTAGGGAGTGTGAACTGGTATAACTGCTTTGGAAAATAATACAAGATATTTAGAGAGTTGATGGTACAAGTATTTCTGACCCTGCAGGTCCACATCGACATATAACCTGAGCAGTTCTTCCAGTTGGGGGGTTGTATATATACATATATGCTGTAGTTTGCAGCATAAAATAAAATTCAAAACCACAGAAGCACTACTTAGGGAGATAGGTATACATGGTGCAGGGGTTAAGTCTCAGTGCTACCAAGCTATCACCAGCCACTGCTGCATGAGTTCAATCCCCGGCCAGGGAGCTGACCCACATGGCGCAGCAGACCTCTCCTGTCTCGCCCGCTGCTCTCCTCAGCAGTGTACTTCAGTCAGTCTGTCTGTTCTGCTCCCCACTCTGTCTTTGGGGAATCCACTCACCCCCCGCACCTCTGGCCTGCACCCCAGTTCTTGTATGTATAAATAAATAAAAATCTTTTTTAAAAAATAAAAAGCAAATAAGGGAAAGACAAACAAAATTTGTGATGGTAGAGATGGGAGGAATTGAGAGGGTCTCAGGGGAGTCAGGGTAACGATAATGTTCCTTTTCTTAAGCCAGGTGGTGTGTGACATTGGTGTACATTGTGGGGCGTGGGCGGGGGAAGAACTCCAATGTTGAGGAACAATCTGGACAAATCAAGCATACATGGATTGTTTCGTTTTCCCATGTGGCTCAGTATTGAATGCTAATAATGCTGACCTGGAATTTCTAGAAACGTTAACATATTGAGCATCTTCTGTTTAAGAAGCAAAAGGATAAACTGTTCTTATGGAGGCTGGGGGGTGAGAACGTCACGGCAAAAGAAGAAAGGGAAACCTTAGAAAAATCTCCAACCAAAGTGATTAAAATGAAGTCTTCCACTTTAGAAAGGTGAACTTGACTTACCTGGACCACAACTTTGCTACTCTCAATGCTGCAAACTAATCCAGCAACAGGGAACGCCATCACTGAGTGGGCCTCTCTTCTCTTTCAGATCCTGCTCACACTAAAAGATGAATCACAAGCACGAGGAGGAAGACCCTGTTCACTGCTCCTGCCACTCCTGGGTGCGTGACTGAGGGGGAAGCACCCACCAGCGCTGCCGGGGTCCATAGTATTTTTTGGCTGCCTCAGTCCCCAATCAATGCCTTCCAGCAGAAGTGGCGGTAGATTGCTGCCCATCAGCCAGTCCAAGCAGGCAACACTTCAACTGGGTTTTGGTGGAACTTGGCTGGCAGCGGGGACATTTCATTGATGCATTATATACCCTGTCAGAGCACACGTGTCTCTTTCACCCTGTTACCCTCCCCCAACCTGCTTAGGTCCTCTGTCCCTCTCCTGCTACCACACATAGATGATATAAAAGAGGCTCTTTGGCTATTTGCATTTGCTTCCTCTTCTTTTCCGGGATTGAGCTTCATTTTCTACAGGCCTAAAATCCCAACAATATTATCTACCAAAGTTGTTCTTCCTTTTTCAGAGGTCTGGGGGACAGGGGGTACACAGGTTTCCCCGGGAGTGGAGGAAAGTCCGTGTGCTGTTGACCACATGAGCCACGGTAAAGGCACCCTTTGGAATTACTGATTTCTAAAATTAATAAATAATTGTATTTTTCTTTTCTTTTTTTTTTTTTTTCCCAATTACTAATTTCCCAACAATCAGTATTCACAAACAAGAATGAAATGGGACAACTTCTCATCTTATTTCATTACTGGGCAGTTTTTTAAACTTCATTTTAGAAATGTGAGCTCTAAAGAAATGTTTTCTTACATTTTGTTTCAGCAGATGGTAGGTTCAGGCTACTCCCAAGAGTTGCTCCCACACCAGGGAAGCTGGTCGTCAGTGCACGTGTCTCCATTGTCAGGCCACAGGGCATGTGAATCTATAGTTGCCCGTTGTTATGTAAACAGCTCATCAGGATGATGCTGCTCAGCACCTGACTGCTTTTTCCTTGACCCTTTGCTCGCTCACTCCCTCATCTTTCCTAGGTCCTCTCTCTGGCTTCTGCTGGAGAAAAGGTTGCAAGGTGGTTACAGAGCCCACCGAAGGATTGCCCCAGCTGCCCTGTTGAGTTATTGGGTAAGAATCCAGAATCTAGGATTTTTACAAGGTTCTATAGACTCGGCATTGAAATCCCAAAAGAAAGATGACACCCAAAAAGGCAGACAGGAAAAGGACTTTATTGCCCTCTTAGTGGCTGAAAACAAAGGTTTGAGCCATTGAAGGAATGTGTTTGCTTATGAAGGATGAACTATATTGGATGCAGGAGAGAAGAGAGAATGTATCCCAGATGTTCCTGGAACTTCTGGCTAGTGGTTTGCTAACTTGGTTGTGAATTGGTTAGGAGACAAATCAGAATTCCTTCGTAGTCCTCTGTTGAAATACTGAGTTGAGGGATAAGGGGTATGGGGAGAATCACCTATATGGATCTTGTGAAAAAGGGTGAGAGGGTATGAGCCCCGTAAAAGAACTTCTAGACTATCTAGAGTGCTTGGAATAGCCCTTGGTCACCGGTCAGAATTGAATCCTCAAGCTAATTTCTTACTTTGTTCATCGTGTGCTAACCAGGTAGAAGACCAGACTGGAAGCTTCCCCTTTTCTTTCACCCAAGTACTCTCAAATCCTTCTACTAGTACCAGCCTTTTCTTGATTATAAACATAATAGAGTCCCTCCAAGAGCAGTGTCCCTCCCCAAAACAAGAGTGTAATTTTGAGGATGGACAGACAATGGTTCAGGTTTCTGTAGTGTTAATAAGTGCCTTGTGCAATGAGAAGGTGGGACCTCAGCCCCTGCCCATATTTGTATCTGCTGATAAGATTAGAACTCAAACATAAAACAAACATTTGGAATCACAGTGTGTTCTGTTTTCTTTGGGATACTTCAGGAGACATATCTCATGGTTCATTAGGATGAATCACAGGCCAGTATTTTAGTGATATCCTATGAGGTTACACAAAAAGGTTTTGTGTGTGTGTGTGTGTGTTTTTAGCACTAGAATGATTATTTCCTTCTTTAAGCCTCAAGTGAGGACCACTAATGTCAGATATAATGCACTGCTTCTCAAAGTATACCTTTTAGGCAACCTCGACTCTACCACAGTGCTAAAGATATCTCTAGAGCTGTGGCCTGAATTGTACATTTTTTAATAAACATTTGGTGATTCTCCTGCCCACTGAAATGGAAGAATGCCTGCCACACGTGCATAGACTATGAAACTGGATAGCAGTGGCCCATAGGTAAAGCACTGAGCAGACCCACACCCTATCTCTGCACCCACTGGTTCCCTTGGGTGAGATGGAACATAATCCCACCAGCTAGAATTTGGGGGCAGGGGAATGCCCCCCAAAATACAGTGGAGGCAAATGGATATCACATGGGATGAAGGCCCAGAGAAAAGTCTGGATTGGCTGGGCCTGGATTAAGCAGGAAAAATTCCTGGTGACCAAACTCAGGGGAGAAATCTAAAAGGAACAAGGCACATACATACGTACACATGCACACACGCACATACGCACACACATGCACACACACTGCAAGATTTTGCTTCGGATCAACTTTTTCTACCTTTACCAGTGGTAAAGTGATTTCAGTAAAGGAACAGGGTCAGTGTCCAGGTTCAGTGCTGGACAGTTCCCCATGCACTGCAGATGGATGCTTCTGGGGGACACAGTAGAATTCTCTGTTGCTCTGGGATCTGTGACCTAAGAAGCATGGGATTGTCTTGTTCTTACCCTCTTCCATCCCCAAACCCTGACACCAGATCATTGTCTTAAAGGGGGCTCCTGATGAGCTCTTTTAGGCTTAACCCGATGACGGACTTTGTCTCATATTCTTAGGCCATATGCCACAGACAGTTTCTCTAATTCTTATTGGGGGTAAGAAAAATGATGATGTTGGTGATATACAGGGAATGTACAACCCACCTTCCACGTGCAAAGGTCCACACTAAGTGATTTGCCCACAGTTAAATGGAAGTCAAATTTATGAACTTTCTGCAGATCTGAGCACGGCCTGTATGTCTACGAATAAAATATTCTGCAATAAGGAAGAGAACAGTGTTGCGATCTTCTCAGGTGGCAGGAAACGTGCCACTCTCCAGGGTATTCACACTGAGCCATCTGAGGTCTGCAATTCTCTGCCCAGGATTCCAGCTTCCTGGATTCCAGCTTCCTAGATGTCGACATGGAATTAAGAAAAGTAATTAAGGGCCTCCCTGGTGGCGCAGGGGTTGAGCACTGGGTTGCAAAGCTGCCCGCAGCCTCTGCAACGCCGGTTCGATCTCCAGCCACAGGCGAGGGTCCCACATGGCGCGCAGACCTCCCCTGCCACCTGCTGCTCCCCTCAGCAGTGTATTTCGTCAGTCCGCCTGTTCTGTTCCCCACTCTGGCTCTGGTGAATTCTCTCACCCTCCCACAATTCTGACTATACCCAGTGCTTGTATAAATAAATAAATCTTTAAAAAGAAAAGAAAAGGGTAATTAAGTATATTTACCAAGTCAGTCTTACACCTTAAGGCTTTTACTGTTCTAGAAACAATCTTCCAGAAGATGAAATGATCCAAGAGTCCCCAAAAATATTTATTTATACAAAGATTTTGAGAGTAATATTTGTATGTCTTTCTACCTCAGTCTGTGCGTCTGGGGCCACGTCGTTGTGTGCACATATGCGGCCTGGCACTTCGTAGCACCTGCTTCCAGGAATACCAGATGAACACAGAGTCTTGGGGGGCGGGCGGCCCTTTTGCCCCAAGGCTGCACAGACCCCAGATGCAGATATGTGCACCCTGACCTGGAAGGTGTCTAGCTGGATGTCCAAGGGGAAATGCTATTGAGGAAGGAGGCAAGAGGAAGGAGCCAGAGGGCAGACAGGAGAGGGTTAATTCTCACGCTCTGCTTGGGAGTTCAGCATATCCTTAGGGCCCAATAGACTTGGTGGCTGGGAATTACATTACCTAGATTCTTCCCCTCCCCCCCATAATGATCCTTGATGCTGACTGATGTTGAGAGGACAATTTGCAAAAATAATAGATTTGTCCTTCATCCCCAGTAGTATGAGATACAATCCCGGGCCTTTGTCTTAGCAACCTGTCTGAAGAAAAATGCTGGTCTGTGTAACATAATCCAGATTCCCTAAAGCAGATGTGAGGCAGCGATGAGCAAATCTGACCTCAGCTCAGAAGTGTCTTCCAGTCTGGCCCCACGCTGGCCACGTCTGCCCCTCCTCCTCCCTGGGGTATGCCTGTCCCGCTGCCACACGACGTGTCGACTTGCAGTCCCTCTTCCTCTGTCCCCACCGCCTCTTGTCTACATCACAGAAAATCTGTGTGTTCTGAAGAATTCAGCCTTCCTCCAACCAAACCCACACTTTCTTTACCACAGTGATTTCTCAGAGCCAGCAAAAAGAGAAGTGTTCCAGAAAGGAACCTCCATCTTAGCCATTTGCCTGGAGCTGAAGGTCGAGGGCTCCAGGCCTCGAGGCGAGGTCTGTTGCTTTGTGTTTCCCGAGGACAGGCAGGCAGGCAGTGGCACTTCTCTCTCCTCTGTCACGGCTGGGGCTCAGCTACACTTACAGGACTTCACCACCATGTTAGAGAGCTGTTCCACCTTGGGGGTCCTCCCAACATAGTACAGGATGGTCAGGGGCTCCAAGTCCTGGGGCACACAGCATGGCGAGGCAGACGCTTCCGGATTCAGGGTGTTGTACAGTCCCAGCACCTGCGGGGAGAGCGCGTCATGCAGAGGCTGGCGAGCCCAGCCTCAGGCCCAGCGCCCTGAGAACCTGCTAGTTCTAGAAGCTGCTCCTGGGGCTGAGTAGATGGGTAGATGGGCCACGGATGCTAATCGGGAGGAACTGCCGGGATATAGTTTTGGGGAGTGCCTACGTGCTGTTCATCCACAGAGGAAGAGTGCAGAGCACCCACACTTGTTTCAGGGATGTCAGATGACGCATAGGACAGCTAGTGGGGAGCTGCTCATTGATTATGAAATTCTCTCAACACCCCTGGGTTGGGCTTTCTAGCTATCACTGATCGCTGTAGTGAAAAATGTTCTCACTCAACATTCCCGAGCCACTTAGCAAGTGTCACTGTGGGGCCCCCAATAGGAGGCAGTAATTGTGGACTGCAAGGAAACTGCCTCCCACTTTCTATTCTCTTTGAGGGAGAGACAAGATGGTGTCAGAGTCGGGAACTGCCCCTGTCTCTTCATATTAGTTTAACTGCTGGGTTTCACGTTATCTTCCAAAATTCTTTTTCTACACTCATGAGGCTGGAATTGTGACACTTCATTACTGATGGTAGAAGCCTTTTCTGCCCCACGCGCCTTGTCAGCAACCTGAGCACATCCCTGACCTGCAGGGCAGTGCCGGGCGGCTCGTCCACTTCCAGGGTGGCACAAATGCTTTGAACAGAGCAAGTAAAAACTCTGGTTGAGACTAGGAAGGAAAATTGCAAGGACAGAATGTGACCGAGTGGCCTTGGGCAGGGACATGGGCGCCTGAGAACCTTCACCACAGGGCCTGACTCCCCCCAGGTGCTTCGCTCACTCAACATTCAGTCTCATGAGCACTCTTTTTAACAAGCAGCCTGGTCTGCTCTACCCCGGTGCCCGTAGGAGCCAGCCCAGCTCCGTACCGTGCTGTGGGTCGTGTCTGCGCTGCGGAGGTATGGACAAGGGCCCGAGCAGAAGTTGGCATAGTAGCCCTTAGGCTCATGGACCCACTTCCAGCCCAGATCCTGTCGGAAGTCGATGTACAGAGGGCGCACGCAGCAGTTCTCCTCCAGGTTGCTACAACAGGAAGCCACAGAGAAAATCAGCCTCAAATATGTCACAGACGGCCCTCACATGGGCACTCGGAGCCCAGCCGGGTCATCATCAGAGATGACTCTAACCAAGGGGATCCCAGAGTCAAGGGCACTGAGATGGATAAATCATGCAGGTGTTTTCCTGCATGGAACACCACTAGCCCAAGGACATAACAGGCAGATAATAGGTGATGCATGAAGAAGTGAAAACAAGGCAGAACTGGCTCTGCCCCCTTTTACATCAAGAATCAGAGCAGAGATATAAAGTGCCGTGCAAAACCAAGTTCTGAGTGTTATGGGCTCACTCGGCTTTGTTGTGTGGTTTTGTCGTTACCTTCCTAACACGCACCCAGGCAGGATGAGCTCTAAGCTCCTACAGCGTGTGTGCTATAGTGGATGGCCGCTAGACTCAATCTAGGGGCCATTCAGTCAAAACAAGCAATGCCTTCCATAAGACTCGTGATTCCTAAATCACCCCAAATGTAATTACCAGACCAAGTCTGCTGCCTGCAGAAGTCCAGTCAGCAACACCCTTTGCCAACAAGGCACCTCGCCTGTTCTTCAATATCTGCTGAGACCTAGAACCTGCCACTTCCAAAACTAGGGTGAAACATGGCAGACACTCTTGGCTATCTATTCAGTAGCTCTTCCTATCCCCTCTTCTCCCTTGCCACCTCCTGTACATAGTCTAGAACACCAGATACTTGTTTCTCTGGCCTCCCTTGCAGATAGGGCTGGACATGCCACCCAGAATGCAGGGAGTGAGAGAAAACTCTGGTCAGTGCAGGGAGTGAATCCTTAGAAAAGTCACAGAGGGAAAAGAAACTAGTTTCTTGTCCTAAGCACGAACTTGAGCAGTCACTGTGCCCATCGACAAGAGATGAAAAGCCAGCAAGGTGAGCATGACAGACGGGGGGAGAGAAGAGAAAGCCTGTGTCCTCAGTGGCATCATTAAGCAGCCACACCATCCCTGAGCCTGCTGCTACAGGCTTCTTGTGAGTAAAAAATCCTCTGTGGTGTAAGCCACTGTCACTTGCAGCCAAGACCTTCGTTCTGAACTGATGAAGAGCCACATAAATCAAACCACCTGCCAGCCTGCAGAAAGAGGCAATGACACTGCCTTTCCTTCAAGTTTGGT